AAAAAAAAAAAAAAGAGGTTAGAGTGGGAGAGAGCCAAAGCATAAGAGACTGTTGAGAACTGAGAGCAAACTGAGGGTTGATGGGGGGTGGGAGGGAGGAGAGGGTGGGTGATGGGTATTGAGGAGGGCACCTTTTGGGATGAGCACTGGGTGTTGTATGGAAACCAATTTGACAATAAATTTCATATATAAATAAATAAAAAAAAAATAAATAAAACTTTTGAGTAGGGATATGCATTCTAGGAGTCAAGAAAATGTGTCTTTACCTTTTGTTAAAGTAGAGTCTGGCCTAGATTTTACTGAGCTATAATTCACCAGGGGATGACTCGGGTCTGGGTGTTATTGGATCCCCAAGACCAGGTTCTTGAGTCTCAGTGTCCTAGGAATGAACACTGAACTCAAGGGAAACAAAGCATGTAGAGTTTATTAGAGATAGCTCGTATACAATGGAGCCAACCAGAAAGAGGCATATCGCTCCCTAAAGGGGTAGTGTGCCAGGCTTATAGAGGCACTTTTCCAAAGAGTGACGGGCTGGGAGTGGGGAAGCATCCTTTAGTCCCACAGTCATTATCTTGTGGCTGTTACTTTTCAGTGGACACAAGACCATCACAGGATGGTTTTCCATGGTTGACATTCTTTTAGGGCTCCTAGAAAACAGAAATACTTGTGCAGTCAGGCTTTAAATTATTACTTCTAATTTTTCCCAGACAACCATTACTCCCTAATACCTGTGATCTCTCTTTTGTTCACGTTTCCAGAAGGAGGTATGGAAGCTTTTAACCCTTGCCTCAGACCACTGCCTCTACACGAGTGAAGTTCCTTTTGTTTTTCTTATACCTTCTTACGGGGAACACTTTTTCCTTTTTTTTTTTTTTTTTGAAATGTTAGCCATCTTTTCTTTTGTTGCCTGTGCTTTTTCTCTAGTCATGTTCCATTCTCTTTCTCATTTGATGACTTTTTTTTTGGAAGACCCTCTGTTTTTAGTGATCTAGGAAAATCATAGCACCTGACCTGTTGTAATTGTTTATTGATTCAGAGAGCAGCCAACTCTACCATTTCAGAAAGCTTTCTAGAGAATGAAAGAGGCATATCTTACTACAAAGGTTTTCCTTTTCTTTCCTCTTCCCTTCCTTCCTCCTTCGCTTCCCCTCCCTTCCCTCCCCTCCATCTCCTCCCCCCTCCCCCATGGGTCTCTTTCTTTATTTCTCTCTCCCTTTCTCTCTCTCTCTTTCTTTCTTTTGGACTTTCAAATGATCCTAGGTTCTGGATTTCAGTGTGGATATTGGGTTTGACTACATGAGAAAAAAATCAGACAAATATTTTATTTATATATTTTTAAAACTGTCTGCATTATGCACTGACAAAATTGAATACGTTGATGTTTATGGAATGGAATGTACATCTATCTTTTAGTGAAAATACACCATGAATCTTTATGCTTTTATCAGAAATGGTTTATAAAGAATCATGAACTGAACATGAAATTCTAATTTTTCCATATATTTAATATTATGAATTCATTATGCTGAACAAAATGATCATTGTAATTTCATTGCTTTACATTTAATATTTTATCAGAAAGAATACGTTTTTACTAATAATATGTTTGACCTCAAACTTATTTTGTTTCTTCCTCTCTCAGATAGAGCCTCAAGTATATCAAGGTAAGATTTAAGGTTTTAGTATTCTTTGTAAGTTTTTTTCAGTACTGGTGTTTGATGTGGGTTTTAATTTTTTAACTAGGGATAAATATGGTGACTTCTGATGTCTAATTGACTTGTTAACTCTTGAAAATCTTTCTCTTCCCTGTTTGGAGGCTAAGTGACAATGTGGAGGGATTTGGCATCTCTTAAGAGACCAGGGGAGGAAAACATCATAGGAGGAAGGAGAACAGGATGAGGGTAATTTTGCATACGAATGGTTAGGAAACAAGTGATGATATGAGTCTGAGGTTTGCAATGAGTACTTTGCCATGACATGGCTCTTGGTGAAATGTGAAGATGAGAAAACCCTCTTTGAGTCTAAGCTTAGAGAAGAAGCCAGATATTGCCAGGCAGGGTGTGTGTCACAAGAGAGGTTTGAACCATGGTTTTGAGTCTGAGGTGGAGGGAGCCATTCATGCCAGGGGAGAATGAGAAGTGAACGTGATGCAAATGGGGGTAATGTATTCCGCATGGGCCCTATAGACTGTGGTGATTCTGTGGCACTGTGTGTTGAGAGCCAGGGTGGCTGCCTGACACTTAGTAAGCCCTCAAAGGCTGGTGCTCATCACTGTGAATGCAGCAGTGGTCGCAGTGAGAAGAGCGAACTCAGGGCATGAGAGCTCTCACTCTGGGCCACTAGAAGAGAAGTTTGCACTTTGAGCTTGTTAGAGGAGTCAGGGTTCTAGAGCTTACACGTATAGTGATCTCAGTGAAATAAGGTTCCTTGGGTTTAAAATGCTACTAAAACTTGCTTTCTTCAGGCACAATAAGAAAGCAAAAAAGTTAGTTACACCCACGTGTCAGATAATGTGTCTCTGCTGCTAATACAGTGGGATTATTCGATGTCACCAGTTTGGTAACAACCTTAGAAATTGTTTTATCTCTTTTTAGTTAATTTACAGCAAATAACTGAAAAGATCAACACAGTGAAGAAAGAAAACAGAGAGCTGGCTGAAGCAATATCCATTTGGGAACCGAAGGTAGTATTGCCCTTTCAAATATATTTTTTGTGATTTTATTTCAGTTATTTCACCTCTGGTAGTTCATCCTACTGACCTAGTTCATGTGTTGTAGAAACACTCCCAATTCAAGACAAGCTTCACAAATGTAAAGAACTACCTCTATATTTGTGAAAGGAATCACACATTAGAGACAGGTTTATCTACATGATGCTATTTTTGAATTCTGATTCCTTTTTCATATGTTTTATATATAGATCAATGAATCAAAGATACGTCTTCAAGAAGCTGAGAGAAGAAGTAACATTCACTCTGCTGAAGCTCTTAAATTGAAAGTAAGAATCCCATGGGGATTCTGAGCCACCGGGCTCAGTCAATTGAGAATCCGACTTTGGCTCAGGTCATGATCTCACAGTTCGTGAGTTTGAGCCCTGTGTCGGGCTCTGTGCTGACAGCTCAGAGCCTTGAGTCTGCTTCTCTGTGTGTGTGTGTGTGTCTCCCTCTCTCTGCCCCTTCCCTGCTCATGTTCTGTCTCTTTCTGTCTCTCAAAGATGAATAAACGTTAAAAAATAAAAATAAAAAAAAAGAAAGTAAGAATCCCTTCTTTGCCTGGATTGCATTCTAAAAACACAAGTAAAATAATGAATTATTATTACTCATTCAACATGTTTTGTTGAAGGAGCACATCAAAAAATTTTGAGCACTTTACTTAAAATTTAAATGACACCCTTCAAAGTGCACTTGCTACCTTACAATCAGAGAGAGAGAGGAATGTCAAGAAATCGGAAGTGATGAGTTGGCTGCTGAGTTTTACTGTAACTTGGCTTTGGAGGCTTTTTGTTCATTGGGTGAGGTGAGCACAGCATATTCTTTTGCTGTTTACCACAGTAGAGAGTGGGCCTCTGGGAGCCAAACCTCCATCCTCACAAGGACCTGGAATTTCACTTAGGACCACCCTGAGGAGTTTTGCTATTTCAAGGACTAGCAAGTGTCTTTTATTTTCATAGCTGGGTAATTACCACCTCATTCAGCCCTGCCCTCCCAACATATGGAGAAAATCCCCCAAGACAGTTGAGAGATGAAGGGCAATAGCCAAATCGTATACTGCCCTCCTCCCTTAATGCTGAACAATGTTCAGTGTGAATATTCCCCTAAGAAAGCCATTTGTGAGCTCTTTGACTTGAACTATATTCTATGTTCTTTGCCTTCTCATTGTTATATTTATGTGGGATCTTTCTTTGTTGCCATGCATAGTCCTGCTGTGTTAGGTACACTCACAATGTTATGCGGTCATTATTTCTTGAATGTCTTTTTTTCATATCTGTCTTTTTTTTTAATTTTTTTTTTTAACGTTTATTTATTTTTGAGACAGAGAGAGACAGAGCATGAATGGGGGAGGGTCAGAGAGAGAGAGGGAGACACAGAATCTGAAACAGGCTCCAGGCTCCGAGCTGTCAGCACAGAGCCTGACGCGGGGCTCGAACTCACGGACCGCGAGATCGTGACCTGGCTGAAGTCGGACGCTTAACCGACTGCGCCACCTAGGCGCCCCTTCATATCTGTCTTAAAGTCACAAGATGCAAACGGTCAATTTGAGGATCCAGAACTGAGAGCCGTGATGTCCAATAACTGTGAACTGGAAGGTATGTTGTCTGTTGGGGAGAAATGCCCATGTGGTGGCAATGAGTTTGCTTTGGGAAGGGAAGGAATAGCTTCCTGCCTTCGTGGTACTTGCCCTTTTCCTGTCACCCCAAAACCAAGTCTCATGTCATGTGCACACACAAAAATAAAATTCATTTTTTGACAGAAAGTAAAAAGGCCCTGGAGGACAAGTGTAATGCATTGAGGTCTGCGAAAGCAGTCAAGGAAGCCAAAGTCAGACAGTTGAAGGAGAAAGCAGGCATCCTTGAAGAATTCTATGAAGAAAGAAAAGTGGCTATAGAAAAGTAAGATGTTCATGTGATAAGAGTCCCAAGTACTATTGTATGAAGGCATGTGGTGGCCAATATAGGTAAATGTATTTCTTTTAGAATTGGATCCAGAGTATTTTTGCCAAATGCATTCAGTAGAATTGTGCCTGCCCTTCCTACCTTGCTTTCTGTAACCTGCATTTTCCTTTCTGTCCTTAGTGCTTGCCACACATTGTTGTGTCATGTACCTAGGGTGGAAGAGGGAAGGCATTAATCACATTGATACCTGGATTCCCTCTGGATCCATTTACATTGTCCTATAGGTTTCAATCCCATCACATTGTCCTATCAGCCGGGAATTAGGTCATCTTTGTTCAGCACCAGACTTGGGTCAAAAATATCTATGGGAAAAAATGGAATTATCTTGCTGTAGAAACAATGGACAGTGGTTTGGGATGCCATCAGTACTGGATCCCTTCATCCAGTCTGCAAGTGAGATTTGCAGGAAATGTGTCTCATGGGTTCATTACAAATTTGGTGCACTACTCACATGTTTCCTCTTTTGTCCAGTATTTTCTTTTGTTCTCAGGAGGAGATCAGGGACCTTAAAGTCCCTCATTCACATTGAAAAGTAAACTCTTCCTTCTCTTCCCTGAGACTCAGCTTTGTGTTAGTCCTTCCCACACGTGGGGTGGGGGCTTCTCTGTCTCACATCTTGTTTTTGTTACTTTGTAAGCTCTGACCACCTCTCTATCTTTACCCCCTTACAACAGAGCCACTACATTACAGCCACAGACCAGAAAGCATTTGCTGAAGGACTGCCTGAGAGGCCAGAAGGAAATGCATGTGTCTTTCTCTGTCTAGTGCTTTTGCTCAGTTTCTAAGAGTCTTTCAGTTTTGCATGTGATTCTTGAGTATATCCAGTGCCAAGTTGAAACCCTTTAAAGCAACACCATGAACTAAGTAGTCTGAGGGCAGCACAGCAAACCAGACTTCTGAAGCATTGCCTTTTGCTGCCTTCACTATCAATAAACTCAGTCTTGTTAAAGACTGGATTGACTCCATGAAGTTGATAGTTTTCCATCTGAAATGTATTTCCTGGAGATAACAGCCTGACTGTGGGACAGTTCACATCATGTTATATTTCAGTAGATATTGCCACTCTAAGATTGGCCTTTTCCTCCACCAGGATCTTTGAAGGAAGAGGCAGGGGTTACACTCCTGTAACTCCTGTGTGGGAGTGATTTGCAATGCTGGTGAAACCATGTCCTGGAAGGCTATCTTTCATACTGAGTGTCTGTGTCTGGGTACAACTTTTGGACTGAGACTCAGTGCGTTGCCCCATGGAGGTATAAGGCAATGATGATCCCCTGCTTCATCCTAATGGGTATAGCTGGTCAGGCATAGTTTTTCACGTTGAACTGAAATGAGCCTTCACCATCTCGAACAAAAGACCAACTCTAGGAAGGCACAAAGTACAATGTTATTTGATGACTTTATGATGCAGTAGAAGCAGAGACCTCGAAAGACCGCTCTGATTGCAGGTGACTTGGCAGCAGACAGAGGTTGATTTTTCTTTAACCTTAAATGGGGTCTTCATTTCTCTGATTGTGTTGTCAGTCTGTGCATCTATGGGAGGACAGTGTAGGGATATTTGAATCTAGGCCTTCAAGTGAGCTGGGAAGTTAAAAGGCAGAATTTCTGGACCTTGGCTCCTGGACTATGTATATATCTTTCTCATCCTAGAAAGCTGGATACGATGAACTGTGAACTAGTTGCAGTGAAGAATCAGATGGCAACTGCAGAAGAAAATCTGAAAATAGCTACAGAGGAAATACACAAGGACAAGTGAGTTCAGATACTAATTAGCAGAGGCTCATGAAACCCCTGTTCATTTCTTAGTTTGAACCTTGGTACAATGGGTGAACTCCATTAACGTAGTATACAAACGCAAATTTAGAGGACATATCTATAGGGAATTAACAGATAGAAAAAGATAACTATTAGAAAGAATAAAACAATTAAGTTACTAAACATTTCCACATCTCCAGTGCTGACCTGACCATGTGGAAACTTCATCCATGCCAATATTCCTGAGGGGTGGTGTCAAATGCCATAATCTATAGGAAAGCAGTTTGTTATAGGATGAAATTATACCCATCAACATGGTAGTGCCATTTGATGGCCTTGGTCGTTGCAACCTTGGGAAACATGGTGAGTACAAAGGAGAATAGAGCTTTATGATGAAAGGCACTTGTCATATGATGAAAGATTGAAAATGGGAAGGAATTCAACAAACTCTGAACCCTGTAGGCAGGGAATAATGAGTAAGGAAAGGATGGAACAATCACTTTGGTCCTACTGTACACTTATAATTATGTGAAAAGTGTTTCCTGTGTAAGGATAAATTGTATTAGGAGACAGATATGAAGTTGATGGGAACATGGGCAGATGATTTAAAATCCTGTGCAATATTAGGCCTTATTTGACGAACGCAATTGTAACTCACAGGCAACAAATTGAACAAAAATGAGAACAGCTGCAACAGGCAGAGCTCACCTTCAGACACCAGGTAACTTGAGTTCTGCCTGACGTATTAAACCCTTAGCACCTCATGCTGGCGAGTGTAGTGGCCCTTGGAATCCCTAAACACGGGCTTTTCGTTGTTGGCTTTTTCAGATCGCAGTTTATGAGAAGAATGCTCAGCACAACTGGGTAAGTGTTTTCTTTTTTCCTCCTCTGTCTCTTTGGTGCACAGTCTGGCATGACTGAAGGTGGATGTGCTTTTCTCCCCCAGATCAAGACTCAGATCGGGGAGAGGGCGATGGCAGAGGAGAGGAGGGAGGCGGCCCACTTGAAACACAGGTGGGTGATCTTGACATGTGTTTTTAATGGTGTGTCGAGGGATGACACTTGTGCTGTTTAGTGTCTTGTAGAGGACGTGGTGTTGCAACTCTTATGGAAGTCCATTCTTTTTCTGTATCCAAGACTGGACATGATGGAAGGAAAGAGGCTGCTTGAGGGATACATGAGGCAGAAACCAATGCCTGGAAGACCACAGACCCAGAACCCTCCAAGGAGAGGTAAGGAGCACATGGTTATTGGCAGCAACCTAATTTCTTCTGTGTAGCCTGTTCCTGGGGCCTGGAAAGAATCACAAGAACTAAGGACATCAAGTTGTCTGAAGGGGTGATAGGAGGGTGCCCCAGGCAGTGGGGCACTTGTCCCTGTGACTTGTGGAGCTTATGCCCCTCCCCCAACTGCAGACCTTCCCACCTCCTCCAGCATCCCCTAAGTAAAGAGATGAGTCTGGAGAGGTGACATGCCATCATGTCACATGGCACATGGGCCTCATCATTCTTCCTACCTTGACTCAATTTTATTTTAGTTTTGGGGGGGAGAAGGTCATTTATTTACTATTTTTTATGTTCCTTTATTTTTGCCTTATTTTTTCTGAACCATATTCCTACATTCCTAAGTTCAGGTTCCATATAGCTTAGTCCCCTGATGCTATCAGTGCAAGTCTGAAGCTTCAGTGCTAAATTCCCACAGTTTTACTTTTCTCATTAGTATAATATCAGTCAAGTATATTTCTATTCAGAAATAGTTACATAATACCTGCTCACATGTGGAAGGCAGCTTATAGATAAGCTGGAAGATTGAACAATTCGCCTGGAGCCGGAAGAAACACACCCATGCTCTTCTGTGGAGGGTTTTTGATGTTATCCCAATCAGTGCTCTCATTTTTATTCTTATCTGTAATGGGATGGTGAGTTATTACCCCTAATGTACATTGAGAAATGGCTATTTTGGTGACGCTTTCCAGATTTCTATTTGAACTGACCTGTTGCAAGTTATTTGACTAATTATGAAGAACACGAACCAGGGCCCTATGGTTTCTTCATTAACAAGATGGGATGGATCTCCACTTATCTTTGGGGTCACCTAAGGCTTGTGGGTTACTCTCTGCCTCTCCTCATGGTATGAAGTGTGGGGAAAAGTTTAAGATGTCACAAAATGTGGTGTTTGTTTGAATTCTGCACAGCCTATTAAAACCGGAATAAACCTCCATCCCTTCTAGAGCCTTTAGCCGATCCAGAAGCTGGTGTCGCTCCCGTAAGTCACAACAACAAACACTCTACCAAAAATGCAGAAGAGGACAAGGTAAATGCTGGGGCCATTTTCAGTTGTAAGTCTGTCGGGAAACCCGCTTTTGCAGTACAGCATGCTGTGGCCTCTTCCCTGTTTTGTGTGTTGTGTGATATGTCTGCCTGTTTCTGTTTTCCAAATGCACAGCCTTAACCCAAGAGTCTACAGGCTCCTCTCTTTGCAGCCTGTCATCGTTTTCTGGAACGGTTAGTAGCCAAAGGAACTTAGAGGTTGAGGGGACCTATGGCTTTTCTCATGTGTTCTGTAGATAACCCCAGGAAGATACACTGCACTCCATACTAAAGTCTCTAGGCTTGTTGACTACTACTATACCGCCTCTCTGTGGGATCAGTGTTGTTGTTGTTTTCCTCTTTCTGGTCATGTGATTAACATGTTAAAGCTATTTGTTAATTGGAAATGTGGAAAGACTTCCCTCTATCTTTACATTGTGTGCCTTGTACAACTTAGAATGCACAAAGACATTGTCATAACTCACCACCTTCACCACCTTCACGTCTTTGTTGGTAAATGAACTGTTGGGAATCCTTTAAAATGTATCTTAGGTAAAAATATTCTGAACACGAGGTCCTTCAGTTGTGTTCATATGAGCAGGTTCTGTTTGTCTCCAATCAATGTTAGAGCTGATACCATCGCTTATGACACATCCATGGAAATTTATACCAAAATCAAAACACCTTTGCATTAATTCTGTTACAGGAATTTCAACCTCTTTTTTTCCATAGGGTATATATTACTCTGTGTCTTGTACTGTGCTCAAAATCAGAATTCCTTATGAATTGAGGTAAACACATGTGGGCTTAGTAGTCATTGATAAGTAATATGTTCCTCACAGCAAACACTTTCTCAGTTACCCTGCAAGACTCCAGGCATCCCCAACTCCCCAGTGGTCTTGTGGGTTTTGACAGCAATTCCCATTCCTGGCAGGGCCCACAGCCTGGGCAGGGAGCTTGAGGACAGCATGAGATCTGCAAAGAACTGCTTCATGGATGCAAGCACAGTGCACAATGCAGTCATCATCTCCAAAATGTCAACTTTACCACAGTGCACATAGTTCATAATCTAAATACAGTTTGTTGTTTCCCTTGGGTTTCTGAAAGGTCTGGACACGTATGAAAGAATGTGCTGGAGATTTGGGAAATTAAACTTGGTCTTAGGAAATGCCTAAGTTTGTGTGTCTCAGTGAGACTAAAGGTGATGACAGGTTGTAGATCAGCTGAGCGGCTTCCTTGGCCTTCAGCCTGAGTCAGACTCTTAGTGGGGATTCAGGGTTGACCAGAAGCCACCCCTGCTGGACTCCTGTCACCACACACCTGCATCTGCTGTCATCACCCTGCCTGCCAGTTTTCATCTCCGAAACTTCCCTCACAATATCCTGAGGCTTTGCCTGTGTTCCTGCTGTCTCATCCCTAATACCAGCTCCCAGTGGAGCCATCTCAGAACCTCAGCTTTGTTATCTGAGAAATAGGGATAGTGTTGGGTTCTGAGATCTGTATGATGAAGAGGTGACAACCACATAAGGAATTTGTAAAATAAATGGGATGAGTGGGCACTCACCCTCCTCAGTGTGTAAATGAAGGTATCTCCACACAGAAGCTCATCAAGAGATGTTCATTCAATTCCATTAAACTAAGAGTATAATGCCTGAGGCTGAGAGATTGGCAATCCCTGTTTCAAAAGATACAGCAAAGACCCCTGTGTTTTCCCTATTAGAATTCAGGTCCTACTTCACACAGGAGGAAAAGATAACTATGAGAAAGTGTACATTCAGGGATCTATATCTCAGACCTGAAGACAATCATCTTCCATTACTGGTAGACACACAGATGCAGCCACACAATTAAGTGTTCGTCCAAGGTATATTTTCAAGGACAAAACGCATAGAGGAGAACAGAAGATCCCATTGCTATAACCCAAAATCTCTTTGCCTTTCAGGACAACTTGAAGTTTGAAGAGGACCCTAAACTGTGACCAATAGGCTGTGGCGATGTGATATATTGAGAAAAGTTGTCTGATACGCATATTTGAATGAATCCTTTCCCTGACCATTCCTGTCCCCTCTATTTTGTCTGTCCTCGTTTCCTGTAATAAACCCATCATAGTTCTGCCTCTGTGTCAGTGTCTGCTTCCAGGAGGAACTACGGTCATTCTATTTTGATGCACACAGTGTGACTCCTGTATACACTGTCACAAACAGGTAGAATCTACAGTAATAGGGACAGAAGACAAGTCATTATTTGAATTGTAGTGACTGCACATGTCCCCCTGGATCCTTCTGGGGTGGTGGACACAACCTTCATCTAGATCTGGTGATGGTTGTGTTCACTCCTCAGTAGATACTCACAAGCACACGGCACTTGCTAGTCACAGTGGTGTGTGGTGATCAGCAAGACAGCCATCAGTCCCCAGGGAGTGGCTGATTTCTGATTGCAAGAAATGGATGAGGGGTCAGCAGTGTCTCTGGTAGAACAATGAGGAAACCCTGCATTAATCCAGGTGTTGGGGACTTTTCCCACCTACAAGCTACCTCACAGTAGCACTAATCCAGGTGGGAGCTGAGGTAGACTAATGGTAGTAGTTTTCGGGGTGAGTCTTATGGTGTCCCATATTTCTCCCAGTGCTTTCTTTTTTTCTTCTAATTTTTGCAATGTTTGTTTATTTTTTTGAACGAGAGAGAAATACAGAGCACAAGCAAGGGAGGGGCAGAGAGGGAGAGAGGGAGACATAGAATCCAAAACAGGCTCCAGGCTCTGAGCTGTCAGCCCAGAACCCGACCAGAGGCTCAAACTCACAACTCACGAGATCAAATCTGAGCCAAAGTCAGATGCTTAACTGACTGAGCCACCCAGGCTCCCCTCCTCCCACTGTTTCCTTAGTGAGGGATGGGCAGGGCAGAGGTCCATGACATGATACCCGTTCCTTCTTCACCACCATGGAGGAGTTGGTTGTAAGCATCTGGCTCTTTCCAGATCCTCAAACCCCATGCACTCTTCTCCAGAGCCCCTGACACCTGCAGGGCCCTCCTTTCTCCCAGGTTGTGGAGGTAACCAGCCCTCCAGCATCTTTGGGATCATGGCTGGGCCACCAAGGGGTCAAGGTCTGGCTGTCCACATGCTTCCCGGGAGTGTCTGGGAACAGCAATGCTGCAGTAAACGTCATCATTTGCAGCTTCTATAAAGAGGACTTTCATCCACTGTGATCAGGGCCTGGGCTTAAAACATGACAGGAGAGAGGGGGACACAGATATGTGGTGCCCTGATCCCTGGACAGGGCTGCACGGAACAGAAGGCACGAGGCCTGGGGAGAGGCAGAGAAAGAGACAGGTAGGAAAAGAGACAGTGAGTGATGGGGGAATTGCGCAAGTCCTAGAGAGTGAGAGAAAGAAACAGAGGGAGACAGGGGTAGGGAGAAGCAAAGACAGAAATGAAGCACAGAGGAAAGGACGGAGCTGGTCACAGTGTGCGGAGGGGGCTATAGGCCACACAAAAGGGGCTCTGTGAAGATGCTCTTAGGGTCGGAGGCAGAAAGGGTAGGAAACCTGGGCATTACAGTTCCCTCAGTTCAAGGCTCCAACCTCACTGGGGCAAGTTCTGTACAGGCCATTGCCCCTGGGAAGATGGGTCCCCCTCATTTTGCCTGGCGTGTTGGGGCCCAGTCTCAGGGACGGTCATGGAGAGAAATGGCTTGAGGGAGAGCATGCAGTTCATTAGCAGGTAAAGTCCAGAGTGTGTCCCATGGGGAGGTAACCATGATCTGTCTCCGCCACTTCCCCCAGTCCCTGCTCCCTTCCCCACTGCTCCAGCATGACCTTCCTTATGTTCCACAGCCAGGCGTCAGACATTGTGCTGCCCCCAGAGCCTATAGCCTGGAACTTGCACAGATGGATTATTGATCTCAACCAAAAGTATTTGAGAATAAGGTCCATATTCTCCTTCTAGCACTAGTTATGTGCAACATGATAGGGGGTTGCTATTCTTACATCTACTGCTGGTCCCAGGATTCTGGATTGTAAGCGAGCAGTTTAAACCACCACAGCCTTCTCTCACATGAAAGGAGAAACCTATTTCTTCACCCAGCCTTCCTCTGATAGTGAAGAGATGGCATTTACTATTTGAAGGCACAATTATCTACCTATGAGTCTCATGGAAATTATTTCATCTGTCTTCATCCCTGAATCACCTTTCATTGAAAATATTACCCATATACAGGCAGGAAATTCATAACAGATGTGTAACTCCCTCTAGGTATGCATTCTGACCTTGTCACATTTGTGTCATCAAACATATTATTGACAACTTGAAAAATAAGCTCTCAACATCAAGATGGTGACATTAGAGAATGTGGTATAAATGGAATTTCATACGTTCTCATTAGAAATAATTTTTTTAATGAAGGAAAATTTAAAATAATGTCAATTTTTTATTGAAATATAGTGGACACACCATGTTGTATTAGTTTCAGGTATACATCATAGTGATTCCGTGTCTCTACGTTATGCTCTCCATATACCTACACAAGTGTAGCTATCATGTGAAAGCATGCAACACTTTATTATAGGATTGACTATATTCCATAGGCTGTACCTTGTATCTCAGTGACATATTCATTCCATAGCTGGAAGCCTGTATCTCTTTCTCCAAGGTGGCAATTTTTATTTAACCCAAGTATTTTGGTGGTAAACACAATTACCTGTAGTTCAGCATGTGTAAATTTGTAGTCTGTATTTCTTTGAATGTTGCTTAAAGCGTTACAAATTATATCATGACATTAATAAATTCGGTTTCGTTCTTCACTCACTGAACAGAAGAAGGAAAAGATTCTTTTTGGGTCCCAGGCCCTGTGACTAAGACCCATTCTAATCTGGAGAACAGGCTTAACTGGACCAGCTGCACCCTCAATACTTTCAGCTGAGCGGCCATGGCCTTGAGCATTGCAGGAATTCCCACGGAGGCCAGCAGAGGGCGCGCACGCACCGCGAACAGGGAGGGGCCGGTTCCTTGCGCGCTCAGCGAAGGCTGGAGAAGGCGCCCAATTAGGCTTTTCTGATCCTGGGCGGCTCACAGCAGGAAAGGTTCCCGTTGCTCCTGAGGACCCAGTGCCTGTGACTGTGGGCAAAGAGCCAGAGCTGGGTTTCCAGCAGGTCCCGCCGCCGGCCTCGGGGAGACCCTGGACGCTTCGCAGCAACTTGGCGTCTCCTCAGTGGTGGGGCTGAGTACCGAGGAGGGGCGCTGGGTAGCTTCCCTGATGGTCAGTGAGGCACCTGATGGTCAGTGAGCTGCTCAGCCACTTGCATTTTCTGGGCTGTTCCATGGTTTGTTCCTCGTTTTCCCTGCCGATATTTGAACAAGATGTTTTTCAGTCAAGGATCCGTGGATTCAGGGGGTCCTGCGATGCCACGTCAGAGATGCTGGGGTTGGTTTGTTCCAGATTCAGGCTTGTTTTGGGGGGAGAAATCCTGACACAAATTTGGAGGAATGGGAGCAGCATTCAGTTGGGTAGTGAAGACTGGAAATGTTGACTCTCAGGACCTTCTGGAAGAATGAGCTGAGACCCACTTTCCGAGTCCTGCTGGAACCAGAGCCCGAGGTAAAAACACAATGTGCCCTCCACATCATACATGCTTTTATTAATTTTCAGTGGGAGTTTTTTCCAACAATGTTGTAGTCGTTGAAAACAACTGAAAACCTGACACTTAGATTGTGTCATGAACCTCCCGTTGTTTGAATATTCAATATTATTCCTGCAACAGAATTTGTTACAATTATCCTTTCTTGTCTTCATTGGAAGAAATCTCATCAATAATACCTTAAAAACATACTCGTTACCTTATTTCCTTTTCAGTTGAGATTGGCATGTTTTCTAATTTCTCATAAACTCATGAAAATCTGAAATACTTTTAAATTGATAGCA